ATATATATATATATATATATATATATATATATATATATATATATACATATATCATAGTTGGCTATGATCACTTATTTATCTCTAATTTTATTAATAATTTCGATAATTTTTTACTGAAGTTTAATTATTTTATACAGACATTTGATCATCAAAGCTTGTTTTTAATTCTTTAAAATTATACACAATGCATAAAATAAAAAATAATTTGGAAAATATTCGTATGCATAAAATATAAATGAAAAATTCAAATTTGTATATATTTTCCATTTTTAATAAATAAAAATTACATTAGATAATTAATTATTAAATAATTTTTAAATAATTAAATTTTATATTTCATTATATTTGATATATTTATTTTTAATTTCTTTTATTCTTAATAAAAAACAATATTATTAATGTAAAAGATAGAAAGAATAGAATATTTAATAGGTATTAAAAAAACATCGATGAAAAATATTTCTTTAAAATGAAAAGCGTATATGCTTTTCTTTTTTATTTAGACAAATTAACGATTTCAAAAAATTTTTAATCCTTGTATAATATAATGTAAAATCAATATATATTCGTACATTAAAAATAGTCGCTATATTGTACTATTCCTCATACTTATAATTTTATTATTCTTTCGTAATAATAATATATATTGAATACATAAATTTTTGGAATGGTTATAATGAAATTATTATATACAAGAAACAGATGTTAAGTAAGAAGATAAATATATAGAATTACGAATATACATTGTACATATAATTTTAAGCGACACAAGTTAAGAAAATGAAATAATATAATATGAGAGCTACGAATCGATGTAATTTTCTGATAAACGATTACCATATATATTTATATAAATTGGTATTTATAATTATATAAATATACATTCCGATGTTGATATTGATTTTACGTTGATATTGATTTTAAAGATATTTTTTAACATTAGAGTAAGTATTTCTTATCTTAACATCTTATATCATATATATATTTGCATACAAGATTCTTGCCAGTAGGTTCAAAAAATATAAATATAATATTTGCGGAGAAAATCCCATTTTTTACATAGAGATCTGTCATTAGTTGGATGACAAAGCTACAAAAGGGATACGAAAACAATATTTGTATATATAAACATGGGATTACCGCCTTAGTATTTAGATAGCAGCGCTGGTTATCCACTGGTTAAGAAATTATACTGCATATTGATTCTAACAATTGGAAGATTTATGTAAGTATATATTACATGTAAGTATATGTACATTTAAGTATATATTATTTTCTTTAATAATATTTCTTTCTCAAAGGGACAAATTTTAAAATCGTCTCCCTCTTTCCAAAAATAATAAATATATAATAAACATACTCTATGTTTAACTTCAAATAAATCAATTCTGTTTTGTATGTATATTTAAATATTATTGATAGAATGAAAAAAAAATATTTTTCTGAGATTAAACATAAGTTAAACATAAAATAAGTTAAGTAATGACATTGATTGATGTAAATAATCCTATACATATAATTTAGAATTGGTCCAGATACCATACCTAACAGCGACATGGCCGAATCGCGTGCGTGTGAATTTATTGTTAGTCACGCAGAAGCCGTGCATTTCTCACATGTTCGCGATTGAATGTCATGCTCAAGGTAAGAATTGTTCTTTTATTCGGGGCGATTCTAATTTTCTTTTTGAAAACTCAACATTTCATGACAATAATTATGAATAAAAGTAACATCTTTTTATAATTAATAAATAAATTATATATAATATATACTCTATATGTATATGATAAATATATATATATATATATGTATTTATGTATATAATATCCTACACAAATATAGATCATCGATTATAAATATGTATTCCAACATATACAATAAACGTGTACGATTTCAAGTTATAACTGTAAACGAAGAATATAATTATTTTTATTTTGGAACTGTAATATTACTGTAATATTACTATGAATAAAAGAATAAACTTTTTTCTGATAAAATAACGTTTCAATTTCAAATTGAATAGGATATAGTGAGTGTTCGTTCAACGAACATTTAGTTAATTTTTTGTTTCATATGTTTGACAAAAATCGAATAATCAAATTTCGAAATGCTTAAATTACTAACTCCATTCGCCAGGGGGCATAATTTAAGTTTAAACATCTATTTTTAAACGACCCCACTCTGTATGTATATGAAACGTAAAGTAGCATCTTTCTCCTCGCCAAGGTACTTTTCTAAGTAGCTTTGCTGCTTATAAAATTTTTGTCAATGTCAATGTTAAGTAACTTTATTGTAATCATTCCTCTCCGTTTCTTTTTTCGACAAACAAAAATTTGACTTATATCATTGTGTTTCATCACGGATACATAAATGTATACAAAGATATGCATGTACTGCATATATAATTTATTCTTATAATTATTTTATTAAAAAAAAATAATAATAATAATATACACGTATGCTTATTCATACGTGTACATATGTTGTATACATATAATAAGAGGTAAAAACAAGTGGCGGGTTAGAGAACGCAAAAACGATGTAGGCACAAGAACAAGTATCATTCTTGGAAAAAGACAAAAAAGAAAAAAGATCGAATGGGGAATTGAATCATTGGGGAAATCGTACATTATATCTCAAAAGAGATAATCACATACCACTTCATAGTTTCGAGTAAAGAGAAAACACGTCGTAAAAGATCGTGCCGAGTGGAAAGATGATTACACAAACACGACGACGTCAGGTAGAACGATTACGATGACAAAGCGATGGTTTGCGAGCGGTAGCAACAATAACAGTAGCAAGAGCAGTGGTGGTAGATCGATACGTCGATCGATGCACTAGAAACGAACGATCGGTTGATTCGATGTAATTGATACAAAAAATTTCGATTAATAATTTCACGATACTCCTTGTCTAGAGCACAACCAGAGCAAAAGTTCGCCACCGCGATCTAGATAAGCACCGTCAGTTCATTTACGAACCGGTGGCCTAAGTTCTGTGACGAGCGAGCTAGAGCCAGAAAGCGATAGTCGTCGCGTTCTACTGGCATTGGACACACACTGACATGACCAGCATGATGTTCCTTTACTTCCATCGCCTCCTTCTCTCCTCGATTTTCCCTACCTTCCATCTCGTTCACCTCGGTCCCCGTATCCCCGTATACCCTAATCATATTCTTTGTGGCTTGACTAGCCACGCGCTTTGAACCGACCGGGCGACTCTTATATGTGTATGTATACACTTATGCACTTCGTGTATAATGTGTTTATATATACATATATATATACATTTCACCATTACCAAATCTTTTGTTTTTTATCGCATACATAATTCAATCTACCATTCATCTTTGATATTCAAATTCGTAATTACTCTTATCTTATATATATTTTATATTATAAATGATTTAATTTTGGTATTCGATTTTTTATAAATCATATAACTTCGATGTTTGATATTCGATAAATCGATCATTAGTAATACCGTTGAATATAATAATGACAAATATTACTTTCATGAATATTTTATTCGAATTTCGATAAATTAGAAATTTGGAAATTACACGGATTATATTATTATAAACAAAGATTATTAACAATATAATTACAATAATATAATACAAATGTTTTCAAAATAAATACATATAATATCACAATAGTATCTATTGCTTTCTTTTGTCCCTTGACGAATGAAGAACTATAGTCGACATTTTTTTTTAAAAAAATATATACGGCTATTTCGCATATTTCGCCTTCACATTTAGAAACGTTGTGTTATTTCGGTACAGCATTGGTTAAAGCATGCTCGCAGAATTCGCGTGATTCTTATATTCAACGAATGTCACCATTTCTCTAGACAATTAGTCCGAAATTCATTGTTTTTCGTTTGGAGGAAATTTTATTGATTTTATTGAAATACGATTTATTACGGAAATCCTGTAACATGTAACATATATACATATCAATAAAAAATTAAATTCTAATTCTTCTTCGTTTAATTATGCTACATTATGCTACTTTGAAATCAGATAAATAAACTGGCAACGACTGTGTTATGCCAAAATCGAGAATAGCAACAGTCATACAGAATACCGAAATATCAAATATTGATTAAATTCCGCTTATGGAATATAAAATATATGTTTATCAGTATATCCATCCAATATATATAAAGATATATTTTATATCCTATATAAATATTTATATAAAAGTAATAAAAAAAAATATATATATTTATATAAATTTATATATATATAATATAATGTTCAATATATAATCCAATTATTGAATCAATCGATGATTTTTTGTTATTTGTATTTTTAATTTTTTAAATATTTTGTATTAATGTGAATTTTATTTCTTCATTTTATACTTTATATATAATTTTTTATAATTTATATTATATGTTTCAATACTATATAAATACATATATAAAAGTACTTGGACACTATTTTATAGAGAAATCGTCTAATCCGAAAATTTTATTTTGAAATAATAGTTTATGTGTATAATATATTACATATAAAACAATTTTTTTACTAATAGGAAATCTGTTTCAAAGAATGAAATCAATATCCTAAAGATTGCAATATTTTTTCAATTTTTTGAAATAATGATACAATTTCATTTTTTGAAATAAGCACTATGAATATTTTCTAAATTAAAATTTTATTCTGTTTCGCATTATAAAATTATATTTAAAAAACGAAAAAGAAAAAACAAAAAAACGCATTGAGATGTTGAATATTAATTTTATCTTTTAAAAATAAATATTTGATAAAATAAAAATTGCATCATATATAAGTTACTATGTTTTACATATTTATAAAATTTTATTAAAAATAAAAAAATTTTTGAAAAAAATTGTTTAAAAAATAAAATTTTTTATTTTTAATTTTTAATGAAAAAATTTTAATAAAAGAAATATCGATAAAAATTTATTCAATATATAACCTATTATGCTCCACATGCACACAAACTTTTATGTAATAACAATTTTCGAATTAAGTGAATTTCTCTGTTAATTTAATGTTCAATAGTCAATTTTCATAAGCCAATATATTTAAACATTTTTAATACTGTAAAATTTAATAAATAAATAAAATGTATTGAATATATCATTATCTTCGTTTTGTGTATATATTTTGTATATATATTTATATATTATATACAAAATGAAAATTCCTTAACTGGAGTTTCTTGAATAATTTTAATATTTTCTTTTGCAAAAACTGTCGTTACAAAACTGTAGTTTTGTTAACGTGTTATTAACAAAAAAATAGCTAATCATAGGTGCATAGCCTAGTAGAACAGTGACGATAATTTTGATTATGTCATCAACCGAACACAAACAAGTCCAAGCAATAAAATATTGAAGGAAATATATTGAATATAACAAATATTTTTTTATTGATAAATAATTCTATCGAATTATATCATGAATAATAAATAAACTATATAATATTTTAACATATTTTCTTTGATGTGTTATTTAGATTTGTTTATACTCAATCGACGACACATAGTCAACAGTATATCGCGGCTCGAATAGACTACACGTTCTGTAATTGGCCAATGTTAATAACTTATTAACAAAGACGGAATTCTGTAACGAAAATTTTTACAAACGAAAATGTTGCTCAAAATTATTAAAAATCAAATTATTAGAAATTAAATTAAAAAATTAACAATTAAAAAACAATATAATTTAACAAATGTTCTCATATTTTTTACACTTTGTATATGTATCATATATTATTGCTTTAAAAATTCATTGAATTTTATCCCAATTATATTTTATGATAAATAAAAACAATAAAAAAATATTGTCATCGAATTTTAAGAATTAGTTGATATAATATTTATCTATCTAATTTATATTTTTTTAATCTTAAAATAATCAATTAATTGATAGCGATATTTATGCTACATATTTTTTAAAAATATTTCTTTATTAAAATTTATAAAAATTTTATGCTAATAGAAATTAATTAAAACATAATACTTAAAAAATTTTTTTTTAATAATCAATTATTCTCTATTAACTTTGAATCAGTTGGAGAATTCATAAAAAAATTATAAGAAATTTTTAAACATTTTATAAAAGATTTTATAAAAATTATAAAATATCTTAACTTACAATAAGTTTGTAATTGTATAAATTTGAATTTTTATACAATTTGATTTTTCATGTGTTTTATTTTTTATATTTTTTTTTCTTATTCAAATGAATATTTTTATATTTATTTTTTTTACAATTTTGGTAATTTCTAAAATTTCAATAATATTAATTTCTCTAAAATTTTCTAAGAATTTATTTATATCTTTTCAGAATATTTTTTTTATTTTTTATTTTTTTATATCTTTTCAGTATCGTTACGAAATATATACATTATAAACAACAAATGAATAACAAATTAAACGCTAATAATTCAAATCTTTTTCGTTATATGATGAAACTAGCATCATACAATTCATACAATCATTACACATAAAATAAGTTCATAGCCATTTCAATGCGTATAGTTCAAAAGTTTTTAAGAGGTCGCTGTATACTTCGACCTTACTTTGACTTTGTTGAAACGAAGTGTATCGATAAAAAATATTCTAAAGTGATCGAGAGTTTTACTAATAGAAACATTAAACAAACTACATTAACATTGAGGAACATTAATAATACGTTTTTTGTCTTAAATACTATTATACCAAGTTTAACATATTCAACATCAAAAGGCATGGCACTGAATAAACTCAGTATTGATAAAGTTGATCTTACAGATAAACGAGTGCTTATACGGTAAGTACTTTTTTACATTTCTTATAATAATTCAGCTAAAATATCAATATTGTATGAAATACATATTCTCACGTTTCGTATATTTTAATTTCATATATAATATAATATATATTAATATATAATAATTAATATTTTATAATCATAGGTTAAAAAAAAATAATTGATGTATTTTATTGTTATTCATAATCAAATTGTAAATTTAATGTTATTATAGGGTAGATTTCAATGTACCTTTAAAAGATGGTAAAATTACCAATAATCAAAGAATTGTTGCTGCTTTGGATACAATCAAATATGCTCTTTCAAAAAAAGCTAAGTCTGTTATTTTAATGTCACATTTGGGACGTCCAGATGGTAAAAGAGATATGAAATATACTTTAAAACCTGTAGCTGATGAATTAAAATCCCTTCTTGGAAAGGAAATTTTATTCTTAAATGATTGTGTTGGACCAGAGGTTGAAAATGCATGTGCTAATCCAGCACCAGGAACCATTATCTTACTTGAAAATTTGAGGTTTCATATAGAAGAAGAAGGTAAAGGAGTGGGAGAAGATGGAAAAAAAGTAAGTAAATTATATATGATGATATCATCATCTATATAGTAAATTTGATAAAACAATTTATTTTATTTTATTAGGTAAAAGCAGATAAAACAAAAGTAGACGAATTTAGGAAGTCATTGAGGAAATTAGCAGATATTTATGTTAATGATGCCTTTGGTACAGCTCATCGTGCTCATAGTTCTATGCTTGGAGAAGGATATGAAACAAGAGCTAGTGGTTTTCTTTTAAAAAAAGAATTAGAATATTTTGCCAAAGCATTGGAGAATCCTGAGAGACCATTTTTAGCAATATTAGGAGGTGCTAAAGTTGCAGATAAAATACAGTTGATTGATAATTTACTAGATAAAGTTAATGAAATGATAATAGGTGGTGGGATGGCTTATACCTTTTTAAAAATATCGAAAAATATGAAGGCAAGTGCAATGTAACAAACTATTATTTCATTTAAAATAAGTAATTTAAATTTATTTATTCTTGATATAGATTGGTAATTCATTATTTGACGAGGAAGGAGCAAAAATCATTAATAATTTATTATCAAAAGCTGAGAAAAATAAAGTCCAAATACATTTGCCAGTTGATTTTGTTACGGCAGATAAATTTGCAGAAAATGCAGCTGTTGGCGCAGCAGATATAGAAAGTGGTATACCTGATGGCTGGATGGGACTTGATGTTGGACCAAAATCAAGAGAACTATTTAGTCGTATGTTTTAATTTATCTTATATTAATTTATCATATATCAACATTGCAAAAATATTTGTTAATTTTATTGAATTCAATTTACAGAACCTATTAAAAGAGCAAAAACAATTGTATGGAATGGTCCAGCTGGTGTTTTTGAATTTGAAAATTTTAGTAAAGGTACTAAAAGTCTAATGGATAATGTTGTCGAAGCGACATCAAAAGGTGCTATTTCAATAATTGGTGGTGGTGATACAGCTACTTGCGTTGCTAAATGGAAAACAGAAGATAAAGTAAGCCATGTTAGTACTGGTGGTGGTGCAAGTTTGGAATTACTTGAAGGAAAAGTTTTACCAGGAGTTGCTGCTTTATCTTCATTGTAATTTCTAGTTTATTTGATATCATCTACATCTATAGATTTTGGTAGATCTTAAAAATGTTAATTTCATTTAATTATTAAATTAGCAATAATATATAATAAAACAAAAATGTTTATTGTTAAATATTATATAAATTACCTTTGTAATCTATATCATATTGATGTAATTTATATTTAAAAAATATCTATATTCATCTCATATTTATATATGAGGTACATCGATATTCGTAAATAAAATAAAAATTCAAAATATATTTATGGTTATAAAAAAAAAGACTATACTAGGTGCAGTATTTTAATACTATTAACCATTTCATATGTTATTATTTTCTCCTGTAATTATTTTTTTCTTTTTTTTATTTTTCTTTTTCTCTTTCTTGAACAATGTATATTTAATGTTTCATTTAAAATTATAATTGTTATTATTAGAAAATTCGATTGCAGAAAAAAATAACACACGAATAATTGTACAAAATACATATTGCACCTAAATCGAATTATAAGAAAGAACATATTTAAATATGATAACAATAAAATATTTAAACAACATTTAAAATAGAAGTAAGATTTTACAATTATCTTAAGTAATTGTACATATTAAAAGCACTACTAATATGACCAAATTTTACTTTTCCCCAATGCAATAATGACTTAAATTATTTTTACAATTATACAAAAATGTATCTAATTTTATGATAATACATGTATAGTTCGTTCGGAGATAATATAATTACAAATTGTAGTATTAATTGATAACATATATTAATATTATATCACTAGTATTCAATAGTTGTTACATTTTTGATATCTCTCAATGAACTATACATATATATCTAAACATATAAAATTTATAAATGAGAAACATTTTATACAATCATGATCCCTTGAACATACTATTATTAAGAATAATAAATCATTAAATATTTTCCCATATATCATTTATATATATATATATATATATATATATAACACCATGGAGTGTAT